GGGGCCTCCCAGCCTACATGGGCCACTACCACTGGTTACCCAGTACCCTTAGGAACACCAGGCTATAGATCTACAGCAAGATAAATCCTAGATTAAGGTATCTGCTGAAGAGGAGCACAGCTGGCTAGAGCTGTCCCACTTAAACATGGGCTCCATCCCAAGTTCTGCCTGCACAGGCCAACTTGGACCCCCTCTGTACCTTTGACTGACAAACAGACTTAAGGCAGGGTGAAGTGGAGGGCCCACAGGTTCAGTTAGGACTGCCATCCTGTACCTGGGAGGCAAGCATTAGGCCCCAAGACTCACCAAACCCTCCTGACAAAGAAGTGCCAGGCAGGATGAAGTGACCAAACTGCCAAGCCACCATGAAGTATAATGCAGGAATATTAGCAGAAGCTGATATGTGCTGCTCACTATGAGACCAGGATTAAGACATGTTTTATAGGCACTCCTTCCCTCTTCAGTTCTCAAGATAGATCTCCTATGAGGTAATGCTCCTCAGAGAGCCACTCTGCTTAGGAGGAAATAGGCTGAGAAAGATCATGTGTCTTGCTTAAGATCACCCCATCAGAAAGTGGGGAGTTGGGACTTAACCTCGGGGTGTATGGTTCTGAGTGCGCTCCTTACCATGCATTACACTGTGCCCCCAAGGATGACCTCCACTGATGGGTGACAGAAAGGGTTCCTCTTTGCTTTTACTGAGAACCAATACAAGAAACAGCAATATCAAGAAAGTTAACTTTTCTGTAAAGCTTTTATTAAAGATACTGTACTTTGTACTTTATTTTATTCTGTTTTCCTCATATAAGGATCCAACCATAAGTCCTTAGGATTTAGTACCAAGCTCTTGGGAGTCTCACCAGACATTCCTGCTGCCTTGGAGGCAGGAAACTCAGCCCTAAGTAAATGCTCACTCACTGCCATTGTCAAGTGAGAAGCTGAGATGACAAACTTGATGCTACCTTATTCTATTTGATAATTTTTCCTGGAGCTGGAGGTATAGTTAAAGGTCTTGTGAGACCTCTGGGACACAGGTGCTGAGAGACCAATCATGGTGGTCTCAGGGCCCAGATCATGCAGTCAGGACTCTGTTTTCTAAGTAGCCTGTTTCAAGGGTTATTCTATCAGGGTTTGTACTAAGAGATGGAAAACAGTATGACAAAGGTCATGGAAACCTGCAAGACAAATGTGGGGTGCCTTCCTCAATGAAAAGAAGGAATTTGTCTATGGTGCTCTTAGTTTCTCTAAGGTAGGGATTTAGTTTTACTATGCTGTTCAGAACTCACTCAATTTCTAAACTGAGGTTTCAACATTTTAGTTAAGCCTGTGAAACACCAGACACTCCCTCTTGACAAAACTGCCCCACAGCATGCCCTCTTTGGGAGAACTCTTGCTAAGGCACACTTTTTTCTGTCTGCCCTCCTATCTCTAGTCTCTCCTCCTTACATTCCACTTTCTCACCTCTGTACCAGTCAGTTCCTAAGATGTAATGCTCTGCTCAGTTGGGTCTCATCTGCTGTTTAACATGCTTACTGTGGCTTTTCAATTGGGATGATTTTTCTTTTTCTTTGCTAAAAGTAATTTTTGGTTTATTTCTAAGTCTATCTGGTCTGTTTTGATGACACATTATTCCTTTTGAGCCATAATTCACATATCACAAAATTTCATCATTTTAAGGTATAGAATTCAATAGTTTTTTTCTATCTAACAGCAAAGTAATTTCATAACACAAAAACTCTGTATCCACCAGTAATCATCCCAGCCTCCTCTCTCCCCAGCTACTAGCCTACTTTCTGTCTCTACAGATGTCCAGATTTGTCTGTTCTGGATGCTTCATAGCAATCGAATCAGACAATATGTGGTCCTTTGTGAATGGCTCCTTTCATTTAGCATAATGTTTTCAAGGTCTGTCTGTGTGGAATAACATTTAACAGCTATTCCTTATTATTGCCAAATTATTATTTGTACAATTATTATTATAGAAATTATTATTTGTATTATTGTACAGATATACCACATTTTGTTTATCCATTCATCAGTTGTTTCCATTTTGTGGCTATTAGGAGTAATACTGATATGAACATTTGTCTATAAATTTTAAAATAAATATAGGTTTTCAGTTCTCTTGGGTATGTATGTAGGTGTGGAATTGTTGGGTCACATGGGGACTCTATGTTGAACCATTTCAGAAACCACCAGATTGTGTTCCAAAGGAGCTGAACCATTTTATAATTCCATCAGCAATTGATAAGGGTTCTGATTTCTTGCCATCCTCACCAATACTTCTTACTATGTGACTTTTTGATTATTGTCATCAATAATATTAGTGCGTATGAAAGTGGTATCTCATTGTGGTTTTGATTTGCATTTCCTTGATGACTAATGAGGTTGAGAGTCTTTTTTGTGCTTATTGGTCATTTACGTATCTTTGGGAAAATTTCTATTCAAATCCTTTATTTTTAAATTTGGTTATTAGTCTTTTTATTGTTGAGTGTTGAGTTCTTCATACATTTTGTGAGAGAGAGAGAGCGTGAACAGGGGAGGGTCAGAGAAAGAGGGAGATACAGAATCCGAAACAGGCTCCAGGCTCTGAGCTAGCTGTCAGCACACAGCCCAACATGGGGCTCGAACTCACGAACCATGAGATCATGACCTGAGCTGAAGTTGGATGCTTAACTGACTGATCCACCCAGGAGTCCCATACATTTTGGATCCTAGATCTTTATCAGATGTGATTTACAAACATTTTCTCCCATCCTGTAGACTGTCTTTTCACTCTGATGATCATGATCTTTGAATCACAAAAGCTTTACATTTTGATGAAGTCCAATCTATTTTTTCTTTAGTTGCTTGTGCCTTCCGTGTTCTATCTAAGAAACAGTTGCCTAATCCAGGGTCATATAGATTTACATCTTTATTCTTCTAAGAGTTTTAAAGTTTTAGCTCTTACATTTAGTTCATTGACTCATTTTAAGTTAATTTTTGTATATGGGGTGTTTATTAACCATTCCTCACATTTTGTTTTATCTTTCATGTCTTTAAGTATATTTATTTTATAGTCTTTATCTGGCAATTCTCTGATCTATTCTATGATCAAATTTATAAAAAAGTCTAAACCTTTTCATTATGTCTCCTGACATTAGTGTGTAATGCACTGTTTCTTCATGTGTTTTGTTACTTTGGATTTTGAGTCCCTCTTTGGCAGTGCTTGGTCAGTGGGAATGCTGACATCCTGGGTTAGGGAAATGTTGCTGGCAGTGGGGATTTGCATTGGTTTTGCCAAGGGCCTCTGGGTGTTAATTAGTCCAAAATTTCCTTTTGTGTTCATTTCTTTGCTTGGTGGTTTTGAGATGACCCAGGTAGTGTTAAACACAATCCAGAGGAGGGTAGGCCTGTGGCTATACAGTCTGTTTTCCTAACCCTGAGGACTGGCTGAGACATTTTCAACTTCTCGGCCATATTCTCATGCTGCCCTTCAGGTTTTTTCTGTCCTCTCCCTCACTGGAGGTGTACTTTGTCAAGCAGTTTGACTTATTGTTAGTGTCTTAGTTCCAACCCACTACATGGAACAGGCCCAAGGCCCTGTCTTGAATCTATGTGACCATTAAAACTTAAGGTCACCAGCCCAACACCCACAGTATGGTCCTGCCCACTGCGCTGGTTGTTTTATTTACTCTCAGATTTTGGCTCCTTGGGGACTTCCCTTACTTTCTTATGAACTGGTTACATGTTTTAGAAATAGGTATTGCAGTTCATCCACATTTCAAAGTACTGAGCAGCAGGAAGGTTTTCAGATCCTCCATATTGCTGGACAGAGAAGCTGCTAGATGAAAAGACTGTGTGGAATATCTGTATACTAAAACAGGCATGATCACACTATAGAGTAAAATACAACGTCCTGCACCAAGGTCATCGATGCAATAGCTGACAGGACCTGAGAACCCATGCTGGTTTCTAGAAGCTGTTCTCCAAGGAAAACAAATTCAGATTAGACAAGCAATTTTGAGGTCATGAGTCAAGTCCTGGGGACACCATACTAGAGCTTTAGCTCCAAGACATAGTCTATTGCAAGGTCAGGTCTTATCACAAATGCTCCCTTCATTGAGCATCTGCTGGTTGTGTGGTAACTGCAAGAGTCTATGACAAATGTCCTTGCATTTAGCTGATAGTGATAAAGGCTAGGGTGCATCTGCCTAGGGCTCTTGAGTCTGTCGTGTCAAGGTGGGGTGCAACCTCAAGAGGATATCACTTAAGACCTTGACACCTCTGTAGAAAGCTGGCCCAGCCTTCCTCTAACTTCCCTAGCCCCTACCTCACTGGGCTATGCAGTGAGCTCTGTGTTGTGCTGGACTTGTGGTCATGGAGCTGGCGACACACTCTCCAGGAATCAGAAAAGTTCTGTGCCAACAAACACACTTGCTCTGGACACCTTAGGAAGACTGTAATTCCAAGAAATAGGCTATATCCCATGTGGCTTGGTTGCTGTGTGCAAAGAGAAATGCAGAGAATGGGGAGAGTACCACAGAGCTTGTGAGACCTCAGAAGCTTATATAATTGCATAAAGACCTCTTCTCTATTGTTTTTATCTCAGTTCCCAAACACCTGGTCAGTGTCTGAGCAGGCCATTACTTCCATGGTATCGCAGTATCAGAGCCTTCTATTTCCCCACCCAATCTCCCATTCCTCTTTTGGGTAAACTCGGCTCCGTTCAAACAATGACCTTGAACTCCACATAGCTTCTGCACTGACTAGCCCTTGTGGTGTCATTGCCCTTGATGTCCTTTATGCCTGTTCTGTACCCCCCATGGCTTCTTCCAACCATTTTCCCACTTGGAAAACCTGCTCCTTTCTCTTTGGACCTGGGGGTTCTTGAGTCCAGGGGAACCAGATTGTGCTCCTGCATGGGAAGGCAGGCTGCTTGGTGGGAAAATGGATGCTGCACTGCTGGCTGAGACTGTATCCTCCCTGGTCTCTCAGGGGCCCACAGAGCCACCACCTACCTTTCCACGGTTGTTGGAGTCACACTGGTCAAGGCAGGAGCACCTGGCGTGGCTTTGGACCGTTCCGTGAATCGGGAGTCAAATGCTTTCATGGGTTCGATCTTGGACGGGGTTGTTAACACGGAGGGTGACGATGCAGCAGGAGTAGAGGTAGCATTCACACTGGGGGTGGGGAGTAAGAAGATGAGAAAGTATGTCAAGTACAATCTATCAAACATTTGGGAGTCCTACAGTTGTGTTACTTGGAGCCAAATAAAAGGGCCACAAATATCAAACTTCTATAAATACAATTCCAAGATGTAATCTACTACTCCTATTTACTACTCCAATAGTTTCATCTGTAAAAATCAGAAAGTTTGGCTATCTGAGAAGGTCATGAGCAAACGCACTCACATTTGCCCCACTGTATTGTTCTGAGAGATTCTAGGGGTAGCATGATGCCTAGAAAGTGGCTTTTAAAACCTTTTTTTCTCACCATATAGCCCTACCTCTACAACTTGAATACAACATCTCCAACCCAAACCACTCCAAACCAAATCAGCTCTTACTGCTTTGACTAATGGTCTAGTGAGAAAAGCCCCCGCCCAGGGTCCTGAAGCCACTGTCTTCCTGGCCTTCATGCTCAGCCAAACACACTGTGGCCTGAGCAGGCCTTCTCATCTCATGTCGGTAATACGCAATCTTCATACTCTCCTCCGAGTGGTCATCCCATAGCCCTTGTCTTCTCCACAGAGAAGAGGCCTAGGCATGAGCCTGTAAGCTTCCCCTCATGCCCAGCACAACCACACATGCTGAGTCCCAAAGCCACTGGGCCTCCTACTAACCACAACCACCCACCTGGACCCCACACCAGATACTGGGCAGGCATCCTGGAGTTCCCTCCTCCTCTCCCAGGACCTGCAAGGCCAACTGTTAAAATGTCTAACAGATCTGGAGCTGTCTGTCCTTCCTCAGACACCCTTCCTAAGATGACTGGTGTGGCAATGATCTCGACTGTGCAGTGGGGGCCTAAGCCACTTCCAGTGTAGAACTGTTGGAAGGTGGGGCTGATCCTGTGGTAGGCAGTGCATCCCTGGCTGGTCTGCACCCTTAGGAGTGAGGAGTGCATCTTGGGACAGCATCTTGCCCAGGAGGTGAAGTCCTCATGGCCCTGTGCATCAGAGACTCACCTGAACAAGGTCTCCCCCACAAACAGGCCCTCATCAAAAATCAAGCACCTCTTTTTTTTATTGAAGGAGCCACAAAGTGTCTGTGTAACTGTGTCCAATTTCCCCAGGGAAAGGAACAAGCCTTGGCATGCCCACTCACCTGTCCTTACTGACAGTATCACCAGCCGGCCTGGCACCAGCTGTTGCCACAGGCTCTGTGGAGGGTTTTGAGGCGCCAAAAGAGTTGGGGGTACTGGAGTCGAGTGGCAGTAGCTGTGGATTGCTATGAGAGGAGAGCATGGTGCCCGCCAGGGAGCCCGAGAGTGGGATGCTGTTAAAGAATGCCGTGGAGAAGTCCCTGTTGTTAAGAACAAAAATTAGCCTGGGAAATCAGACACATCACGTACTTTCTATGTTCGAAGTGATTTTTTTCTGGGTCCAAAGGTGAAGTATTTTCATGGAAGAAAATGTGCAAAGTCACAGAAAAGTAAAAAGAAAACTGAAATTATATCATACACTACGTGTAACTAAATCTAAGATGAACTGGTACTTTATGTGCCACTAAGAAAGAAGAGATTACTACCAAATGTAATTGTCAGAAGCCCCTGATTATAAGATGTACCTTAATCTCACAGATGTTAAAATGTACAGACACGTGTCTCAGAACTCATGAAATGCAGCACACAGAGCAGGGCTCTCTTTCATTATAGGCTGTATGGATATAGCATCATTTACCTAACCAGCCTCTACTGCGGAATGCCAGGGCTGTCTCCCAGCTTTTTCTGTAAGAGACACTGCTGTCAGAGGAGGCAAGATACTGCAGTGTTAAGGCTAAGGTCCCTGGGCCAATGCGGCTAGGTTTCACTTCTTTGCCATGCACAAACTCTGGGACCTTGGGCACTTCAACCACTCTGTGCTTCAGGTTCCTATCTGCAAAACTGAAAGTGACAGAACCCTCCCAAGGCTGAGGCCCGGACTAACGTGGTTAGTGTAGCACACACTTAGAAGGCATAGTAGCTGCTCAAAGGTGCACCTTGTCAGAATCATCAGTACAACGGTTTCACATATTACATGGGATAAATCCCTAGAAGTGGAATTTCAGAAGCAGATGGAATATTAATTGATGAGTTTTGATAAACAGTTCTAAACTGCCTTCCTTGGAAGTTTAAATTCCAGCTGTGTATGAGAGGGCTTACTTCCCCAAACCCTCACCAACAATTTTACCTAATTTCTTGATACTTGACAATCTGATGAAAAATGGTACCTTACTATAGTTTTAATAATTTGCAATTACTTTGATATGAGGTTGAAAGTTTTTCATGTGGAAGCATCTGATTTTCTTTTTTGGTGAACTGTTTATATTCTTTATTTATTGTTCTGATTACTTGTCTTTATTATTGATTTCAAGACCTATTTACATATCTAATAAATTCCTTACATGAGCAGGATGTATTTTCCCCTGAATGCTGTCTTTTTTTAAAGATTTTATTTTTAACTAATCTCTGTACCCAACAGAGGGCTTATACTCACAACCTCAAGAGCCCCATGTTCTTCCAACTGAGCCAACCAGGTGTCCCCATAAGCTGTTTTGACTCTTTATAGCACAATTTTCCTTGCCCCCAAAATGTTATTTTTGAGTGGACTAACTTTTGTGCCATAGATCATAAAAATATTCTTTTAGGGAATCTTCTAAAATTTTAAACAATAAAAAAATTTAAAAAACCCTCAGTTGTTCGGAATGTATCTAATTTTAAGTTGTAAGGCAGGGAGCTAACTTTGTTTCTAAAGGTAAGTAGTCCTGATTCTTATTTATTAGATTAGCTGACGTTTCATCACTGATGCAAAATGCTACATAAATTCCCACAAATGTTTGGGCTTACTTTTGCGTTTTCTATTGTATTCTACCACTCTGTCTATTCATATGTTAGTACCCATTTTATTATAGTTTGTAAGTTTTACTTTATGGTGCAGCTAGTCTTCCCTGATTAATTTCCTTTTTCAGAAATATTTTCAGTGATTTTTCCACGTAAGCTTAGAACCAGCCTGTCTGATTCTGAAAACTCCTATTGGTTATTTGTATGGGCTGATGTTGAGAGAGATCTATCATCTTTATGATGTTGGATCATCCTAGGGAAGAACTGGATATGCATTTCTAGTTATTTCTAGTTATCTGAATTTTCTTTTAGGTCTCTCAGTAGGATTTTTAAATTTTTCTTCACAAAGATCTTCTACATTTCTTGTTATGTTCTAGGTATTGCATTTGTGAAAGTGATCTTCTAAAAGTAGTTGCTGCTACTTGGATCTCATTGTTTTGATTGTATCCAGTCACTTTATTGTCTTTAGTATCTATGGCAGTTTTCCCAGTTGATTCTCTTGTAGATCACACCATCTTTTAAATAATGATACATCTTACCACCTTCTTTCCAATTTATTCTTTCTCTTGACTACCTGTATGAGCTAGGACATTCCAGGACAATGTTAAATTATAGTTACCAGAGTAGATGGTTGTTTAGTTTTTGAATTTACTTTAAAATAAGGTAGTTTTTATCAAGTTAAAGAAGTACCCATCTATTTAACTAAGTTTTAAATAAGAACAATGTTGAATTTAATAAAATGTCTCTTAGGCATCTATGGAGATGACCATATATTTATTTCTTTTGATCTTTTGATATGCAGAAGCAAATTAAGTTTCCCAAATTTGAACCACTTTGCTTTCCTGAAACAAATCTTACTTGGTCATAGCATATTAACATTTTAACACACTGCAAGTTTCTGTTATTATTTAGCATTTTTGCATTGGCATTCAGAAATGAAATTGATCAGGAATTTATTATGTTCCACCTATGTCATGTTTTTCATATAAATACCGTGTCCATTTCAAAAAAGGTTTTGCAAGTTTTCCTTATTTTCCTATGCACTAGTGTTACTTTCAATGGTATTAGAATGATCTGTTCCTCTAATTTTGAGAATGAAACTTTCTTAGGATTTCTCTGTGAGACCTTCTTAGTCTGGTGGCTTTTGGTAAGTTAGTTCTGGGACAGTGCCCTCTATTTCTTCTATAATAATTCATTTGTATAGACTTTCTTTAGCTTTAATAATTTTATTTTCCTCAAAATCGACATTCAAATTTATTCACATAGAATTCAGGAAAGAAGTCTTGTCCTTTTATTCTTTATCTGTGATTATTTCTACTTAAAATATTTGTGCCTTTTCTTTTCTTGCTTGATTAGCAAAGCTAATCATTACTTATTCTGTTGCTACTTGTTTTAACATGAGAACCAAAAGGGCAAAAAAGCCTTTAAGACCAAAAGAATCAAGTTCTGGTACCAGAAATATGTGCTGTGTGGCAGAAAGCTGGTTTAAGACCAGGAGGAAAGCCACCTACCACTTCTATCTCCTCATCAGGTAGGGCGTGAAAGGATGCCTGGAAGAAAAGTGGCACCATCACCACCACCTCCACGACCCTCACTTCCACAAGCCTTTCACAATGTTCAAAGCACAATCACATATACCTGTCTTATTTGGTCCTAAAATAAAGTAAGCATGTGGCATTACCCACTGGTAGATTAACAATGGGAAAAAGGCTTAATCAAAGGAAAATCACTCTCTGGGAGGAATCAGGAGACTTGGTTCCATCTGGTCAGGTCTCTGACCTCTAGGGCCTCAAAGCCCACACCCCCTAACAGGTCAGCACATCATATGACAGAAGGTCTCTTCAGACTTCAAGGAAGATTTAGAACAGCTTATGGATGAACAACTGCAAAGTGCAGAGGGCTACTGTGTATGGTGTCCTGAGCAGACTGGCTGAATGAGTATAAAACCTGAATGAATCACCTTAACAGTGGGGGTCTATTTCTTTCACACAGGGCCTTATCATCCTTTGAATCAATATGTGTTGTTTTGTGGAGGATGACTGATACCACAGCAAGCCTGACAACAGACACTGAGACGATAGCAAATGGTGACTGAGTCCACTTTCCCCCTACTTTGCCTCCTCAAGGAAATGTACCTCAGAGCCCTACTCTCTGTCCAGTAATTCCACTTCTGGGAAGTATCCTGTGGTAACAGTCATAGGTGTGCATAAAGATTAATTTACAATCACAAAACACTGGACACAAACTACAAGTCTACAGTTAAGGGGCTGGTCAAGGAAATCATGGTGCATTCACAGCCTGGGAACCTGGACAATAAGCAAGCCAATGCTTCAGAGGACTATTTATTAAAATGGATGCAAGGTCAAGATACAGGAACAAGTGGGGGGAAAAAAGACTGGAGATACAGATACCAAAATGTTAACAGTAATTATATCTGAAAGGCTACATTACGGGTAATGTTTATATCCTTCTTTGGGTTTTTACTATTCAACAATGTGTATATAAGGGCAAAATGAAATAGAAAAAAATCAATCCAACTTCTCTCCCTGGTGTCTTCAATGCCCCACCAACAATGAAGCAGTGCTGGCCATGTGGACACACTGGCCCTGTGAAGGTGCCCTTGCCCTCCTGCGTGTCACAGGCTCCTCCCAGCCCTCCTTCTGCATGAGTCAAATGTGCATAAGGAATTCGTAGGAAGCACAAGGCTTTGAGCCTGGTGGGAAACTGGGCTCTACTCTCCCATTTCCAGATTCTAGGGGTCAGACTGACCAAGAGCCTGTGAAGATCCTGATTATGAAAGTGCTAACTGGTGAAAGGAGAGAAGAAGAACTCTCCAGATAAAGCCACAGAAAGTTCGATGAGTGAACAAGTACCCGGTGTCCAGCTGTGCTATGCAGAGAGGTGTGATTCTTCTGCGACCATCTGCCGTCCGAGTCTCAACTTGTTTCTTCAAAAGATTCTGGCAAAATAGTGACATATATGAATGGACAAGTTTCTGCCAAGCACCTCCACATTTAAAAAAATAAGGCTTCTAAGGAAACGAATTTTAACTTCCTTTTCTATGGCCTGCTGGTCCAACTAAACTTAGCCACTGAGCAAGCGTATTTGTCAGGCTGTGTGTTCAACTTCCTGCACAGAAAGCTCCCAGTTGAACTGGCTCCAGCACCTTGCTCTCTATCACCAGCACTGCAGGCCTGGCCAGGTTTCCTGAGCAGTGAACATTTGCTACTCTCAACCAGCAGCCATGGGGCACAATGAGGGCACAAATGAATGAAACCTGCACCCATAAGCCACTCTTTCTCTAAGTTGTGATTTGCAAATCTTCTTTCATCGAAGTCATTTCTTCCACTGAAGGGTCATAAAACGAAGGTTCCCAGTCACACACTGTGTCGAAATCACAGATTTGTCACCCTCTGTAGCCCCTAGAGATCATTTAAACTCCCCAGGTGATTCCGACATTTCCTCCCGTTTCTGCCCCATCTCCACCCCCTCCCCCCAGTGAGACATGGGCTTCCAGAGGAAGAAGGGAGAACCCACAGAGATCTCTGAAAGATAGAACCTGACACCCACTGTTTTCAGTATCTAGAATTTCCTAGAAAGGCTAGAAGTGAGGTTTGGAAGCTCCTATAAGAGATGACATCCTCTAGAACTCCTTGGGACAAAGAGGCCTTTGATAAAGTACCTTAGGCCCCATTACTCCCTCATTGCAGCTGGTAGCAATGGGGCCACGTGGCCCCAAGCTGGCTTATCCACGGGTCCTGTTCTAGGGCACAGCATACACCTGCTTACCTACTACTTGTGTCTGTGCTCTGTTCAGACTGCTTGTTCCCCCTGCTCTGTCCCTGGGTGTGTACCCATGTCCTTAGGGTTATGGAGACAAGCCCTCACCTTCCTAATGTCTTCCAGACTCTCCCCATTGACAACACCAGCAACTGAGGTAGCTGAACTTGTCTCTCTAGCCGAGGCACTCTTCTGGTCCAGCTGTTGTTGTTGCTGCCTGCGCTGGTATTTGAGCATCTCTGGGTTCTCAATGACGGCTGTGGAGAGCTGGGCCTCAGTCATGATGGCCAAGCTCTTACCATAGGTAGACTGGTGAATGCGGCTCTAAGGGAAGCAGAGAGAAGTTCAACAGACCAGCTTGAGTAGCAAAGTGGTGGCTAGTGCCCACCAGTGGGTGAGCTGAGTGTTGACTCTCTTAGTTCTGAGGGTAGAAAAGGTCTTGGGCAGTGTTCCCAGGGTCCTGGGTGCCAGCTTGCCCTCAAGTCTCACCCTTTCCTGCCTATGGCTGACTAGATGTCTCTGGAGAAGTCTTACACCCTCTCTAGACGTTCAGAGCCTCTTGTGTATCTAGAGTTGGCGATGAAAGTAAATGAGTAACTGACCAAACACCTATCACATGCATGGTGTGGTACAGAAGGAAGGGCAATAAACAGGTGCTGAACTGAAATTAAGATACTCAAATTGCTAATTTAAGGTTCTTAAATCACTCCAAGGACCCCAAACACTTTTTGGGAATCAGATGCTGAAGTCTAGAGCCTTGTCACACCATTCTTATTCGCCACCATTAGTTCCAGGTGAATGGAAGTTGCCATGAAGCTGCTAATAGTGTCTCAGAGTAAGGGAAGGCCTGGCACAGCAAACTGGGGATATCTTTCTCTGTCTCTCCTATTCCCCAACGTGTCCTGACCCTTCTGAACAGGGTCCCTCCCTTCACCTTCCCAGGTTTCATTAATTCAATGCTACAACAAGCCAGACAGGACCCCACATTGGCAGGGATACCACCCCCAGCACATTAGAGTGACTGGTGTTATGAGAAGTAGACTCACAAGGATGTGCTAATAACCAACAGGGAGGCCAGCAGGACATAAGCCTCATAGCAGAGGATGCTGGGCAGGGGGAGGTCAATCTGTCCCCTGGCATCTGGAGGCAGAATTCAGAGTTTGATAGATGTTTACCTGTATTTCTCAAACATGGGGTCCCTGCCTGCCATCTGGGAAAAGGTAAACTAGATAACATTATTTTGTACCCCTGCCCCCGAGTCTCCAAGGCGGAGGGGAGTGCACAGGGATCCCAGGTTACCTGACGACAGTGACAAGGTAGAAAGACCTGAGGCCACTGAGACACTCACCCCTTCATTGACAACTGACTCTTGGGGTGCCAGGCCATTTTAGGTGCTGTCATTAAGGCAGACGCCCAAGGGGTTTACTTCATAGTGGGAGGTCCACACAGTAGCTTATGAGGGAGCCTCTACCAGTAACTGCAGCTCGAAGGGGAGGGCCACCCACCTGCTCTGGGCTTTCACAAGTCTTCTTTCAGACAAACGAATACATTCCACTGAGTGGTGGCAAAGGCCCATCAGTAGAAATGTCTGCCTTCAAAGTCTATGGTGCCATAAAGTAGGCTTTTCCCAAAGTCCTTGAAGGGCACATGGGTCCTGCCTGTCCTGGGCAGAGAACACAAAGGGCAGGAAGCCTATGGGCCTGGCCCATGGTTCTGTTCTCATACCTAAGGGTTGTGTATGGTTTCGGCAAAGGGCCACGCTTTTTTTCTGAGGCTTAGTTACCTCGTTAATAAAATGAATGAATGAGCCTTCCCTTGAAGGGTTTTATAGAATTCAAATGAAATAATACATGCAAAATACATGGCTCAGAGTCTGGCATGCAGCATGTGCTAAGAAATGACCAATGTTACTGCTTTGTGGCAACTGTGTCTGTATGAGACCATGGAGAAAGTGATGTGAGCAGGGACCCTTAGAAGTCACACTTGCTATCTCCCATGGTGAAAACCTCCCAGTGTGTGGCTAATTATCACTCAAGAAAAGATGCCCAAATCTGTTTTATTCTTCGTTCTAGAACTGATTTCTGACATGAATGAGAGCCTCATCTTTAATCTATTTTGTAAAATAATAAAGATTATAATCTGTAAGAGACCAATACCCAAGTATACTTTAAGAAACAATGTGTCCATGTATGTCCTAAGGGGAGGGTCCAATCAAAGGGGCCTCTCAGAGCTGTGGTGGCCATTTCTGTGGCCCAAGAGGAAGCGCAGCACTCAGCCCACCAGTTGGAGGTGTACTGTTCTCCTACCTTCTCCTCCTCGCTCAGGGGGTCTCCAAGCTCATCCTGGGAGAAATCGAGAAACGCCACAGAGCCATCCATGGAGCACACCAAGATGCCTAGCCCGTTCAGAGTCCTGGAAAACGACAGCTATTAGCAGTCTGGGAGCAAGTGCCTGTGGGGCTTACCTACACCTCCAAGGCTGGACCGGGAGGGGAGCATGCAGGGTTCTTTGCAGATGCCAGAAACCCCTCGTTTCCTTCTATAGCATTCCTTGGTGGGGTGGGGGCAGGGGAGACAACCATGCTGCGGAAGGTTCTGGTGCCTTTTAGTCCTATGCACATGTACAAAGTATCTTTCACCATGTATTTTGTAAGAATTTCACTTTTATTTATTTTTGAAACCATTTTTTAAAAAAATATGAGGGAATATACATCTAAACGAGGTCACTGAGAAGCAGAAAATACCTCTCCATACTTATGGTAATCTGGTTCATACAATGACAGAGTGAAATGAAACCAGGATCACAGTACTCTTTTTTCCCCAAACGTCAGTTTGCCTGAGGAAGTATTTTCCAGGGGCAAATGCCAACAGAGCAAGAAGCATAGCAGCTGACACTCTCCCAATGGCAGGCCAAAGCTGACCTTTCTTGAATCATCTGCTCTGGCTATCACACCTGGGGAGAGGGGGTGGCCCTGGCTGGCTGACCCTAATCACATCTGAGAGGCCTCATGTTCCTATGTGTAGCTTCTCTTCTTCTAACCTGTGCACTGTAATAAAGAATCCATCTTACCAGGAAATATCCATGATGGATTTGTCGAATAGCTCATGGATGACAACCAAAGGCCGTTTCAGACATGTGAGCTGGAAGGAAAGAAGCAGCAAAAAAAAATGAACAAAAACTGCTTTTTGTGTATTCAGTTAAGTCCTAGAAGCTGAGTCTGAGTTTTTGCTGACATACAAGGCATATTCGACTCTATTCAAATAGCAACCAGCAAGATCCAAACCAATGGAAATAAAAACCTGACAAAATATGCATTTTAGCATGGTCTCTGCCTGAAGGGCTTGCTGTGGTCTGGCTGGGAAGGTGGCTTTATACATGGACAATCAAGAATGGAGAATGGGGTTCTAGAAAGGCCACGACCTGAGCAGAAATCTACAAGCAAAAGATGGGATGCCGAGGCCTAGGCAGAGATGAGGCAGCAAAAGTAGTGCCCAGGACAGGAAAGCAGCCTCAGACAGAAGCCAGCACATGTCCTCTGGGCCCAAGGAGTTCTGGTACATATGTAAGCAAAGCTGGGTATAACCGGTTACATACATCACATGGGCTCTCATTCTACAAAGTGTATGCAGATAGTCCAGAAACACCAAAAACAGTTTAAGTTGCCCTGATTCCAGATCCAGAGTTAACCACTATTTCATTCTTTGATACAGGATTACTTTTTCATTTATACATTATGTCATTAAACACCCTGTAAAAAACCTGTCTTTGACGGCTGTACAACATTTACCCTGTGCATACTTATATCTAGTCATTCAAAGGTTGGGCTATGTGCCGTCTCCATGTTCCTACAGCTCACATGCTAGTGTCTGGCCACACTGCTGACAAGGTCCTGGGGCCACAGTGTGGCGGGTGGGAGGGAAAACCTTCTACATGGCTCCTATCAGGTGCTGTGTCTATAGGGGAAGAGTTGCTGTGGCCACCCTAGTCCTGAGGAAAGGGAGTCTGAGCTACCTGGAATCCACAAGAAGAATCTTGCCCTTACTCTAATTCCACTTCCAGAAAAATATAGTCTCCTATATTTTTGGGATCTCCATGTCTCCTCCCAAAAATGTGCCTACAGACCACTCAGAAATCTGGAAACTTTATGAACATCTGACCTCAGCATTCTAAGAAAATGAGTACATAATCAGTGATGTTTTGGGTAAAGCATCACAAATGAAACTCCAGGCCAGAAGGAGTCCAGGAAGAACACGCCTGGAACTGCCCATGATGGCACTGGGATTCAGGTTCTGAAATGTCACATGAATACGGGCCTGAAAAAAAAAATCAGTTTACACACTGCAATCAATTTCTCTGTGACAAAGAATTGTAATAAAGGCAACCAAAGGATAACGTCAAATCTACAACTATTTAGTCCACTCTGCTTATGGGGAGCTTGATAATTAATTAGGAATAAACTAATGCTAAATTAGCTAAATGCTAATGCTAAATACAACAACACACATGAATCTCAACAATATTATGCCAAGTGAAAACAATGCAAGACACAAAAAAGTAAACACTGCACAGCTCATCAATGTGACAGACATCGTTGGAGTGGCTGCCTTGGCCAAGGAGTGGTGGAAAGTGGAGTCTTGACTGGGCAGGGATGAGGGGTTCTGGGGTGGTGGTTACACTGGTGTAAACATGTATGACAATGCACTGAGCTGTATACTTCAGGTGAATATATCTGCTGTAAATTATATATGGATACAAAGGTTTTCTAAAAGGAAGCAAACACAGCATGCCAACTGAAGGTGTTCCCTGAATCTGGACATTAGAGTTGCTCTGACTAGGGCTCAGGGTGGCCTCTCCTAGCTGGCCCCAAGTCTAGTCTTCAGCACTTCCTTCCTCCTGGGGTAATGAGAGGGCCTGACCCCAGATATGGGGTGGAACCACACACTGAGCACCATTGAAAGTTGGGGGGTAGGGGAGTCTCTCCCTCCTTCATCAGTTCCTTCTCCTTCACCCTGCTGGAGCCATGAAAGCTCTTTGGGGGAGAAGAGGGGCTCACCCAGACAGACAGAGAACGGTCCTTGCTGCCAACAGCACAGCAGCAATATGGGCAGCTGGGCTTTGCAGAACTCCCATTCTTCTGCTTCTTTTTGAAGATTTTTGGATTGAATTTCTAAAGCCAAATAACAAATGTTAAAATAATTAATCAAGCATCAAGCACAAACCCCATGCCCCGTATCAGAAACAGCACAATTCCAGCGTATTGGTGGGAAACCACACTGACATTCTCCCAGCCCCAGGCACTCGGCATACTTTATTTCATCTTCCTAACTACCCAGGAGTCATTTTGCTGAGGATGCAATGGAGTCTCAAAAAGGCCAGCAAATGTGGGCCAAATCACCCAATGAGTAAGTAGTGAGACAAGGATTTGAAGTTGGCTCTACCAACTTTTCATTTCTGGGCTTGTGGCCAGGTTGATGGCATGGGAGCTACTGAGACTTCCTCTCTGAATTTCTCATGGCCTGGGCAAGGCCAGTTCCAGGACCTGGCTTTAGGGGCAAAGTCTTGACAGAGGTCAATGGGACTGTGAGGTGTCTACTCCATTAATCCCTTCCCCTTCACTGTAGTTGTTGCTCAGAGTCAAAATAGAGGATACTGATCATCCCTGCATGATCTCAGTTGGCCAGGACGATGGCTAAGTCATGCTAAAATGCACTCTGGGGTTTATCCTCAGTGTAACCCAGGTGTCACTTTTGGCAAGGTTGGAAGCACAGAGACAGCTCCCTGCCATGTTTCTGGACTGAAAGGGGTGGGAACTCTAGAGTCAGAGCTGGGATCCCCATGCCAGGACAATCGAAGAGGAAGGGTGGCTCCTGGGAGCCTGGTGTCAGCTGGCCTGGCTCACAGGGGTTCTAATTCCAGAGGGCAGGCAGGAATGGCCAGGTGCACAGAGACGGGAAACACGGAACCTGGAGGCGTGCATCCTGGGCTTGAGTCTTGGCTACCTGGGTTGGCTGAGAGGACTCAGTACCATGATCTCACAAAACCACTTTTACAGTGACCGTGAGGACCACTTGACAGTGTCATGTGGAAGCACTATGCTAATCTGAAGCAGTGATTTTCAAACATTTTAGTAACAAGGACTGGCTTTGAACAAAGTCCTCTACATGGGCTCCAATATAAAAAAAATTAAGTAATATTTTATTTGTATAAAAGTTATATATATTTTAAATCACAATATATATCATTAATTTAAACAATGGTAAGGATAAGTCCATTTTAAGGAATGCAAAAAACTGAGATCAGAGTCCTGGATGATCCTTTACTTTTATCAACCTTAGCCCACCAACGTATTTACTTTGTTTTGGTTGCCCAGTGCTGAGAAAATCCTCGTTAACAGTGGCCCCTATCTGCTGGCTCCCTTTATCCTCCTTGTCAAGACTGGGTGGGGCAGCTCTAGACTCAGGTGATCCACAGCATAGCCTCACAGCTATGATGGCCAGGGCTAGGGTGCAGTCACACATGCTCAGCAGGCACATGGACTGCACCTGTGCTCTAGAGTCTGGCTAGTGAGGAAGCACTTGTCGGGACCACCATACTTGAACACTGTGATCTGACCAATGTCACAGACTGATTTGGGGGATACTCATTAAAATGTGAATATATATTGCTTTGAAAAATCACTTTAAAAACTGTAAAAACCTAAGTATTTAAAATGAAACAGGGATGTGGCACGTGCTGACTCTCAGAGCCCACTACCTCAGTCCACCACGTGACCCAGCCTTGAGACAAGGCACCTCCCAGCCTGAGGCTAAGCACACTCACAACGACAGTCACAGCTTTCCGGTGCCCGACAAAGTCCATGTTGGTCTTCCAGCCCTCCCGTTCAATGATCTGGGCAGTGGGGCCAGAGTTGTTCATGGCGTGGGCAGACACCAGGTAGTGCCCGTCAGGTGACCAGCTGAGCCGCAACACATGGGTTGTCCCTCCACACTGAAAGAAACATCTGCACTTGGAAGGTGCTCAAAGCCAATTGTGTGACTCAAACTGTGACCTCAAGAATAGAGTTGAATTTTGATCTATAAACGTATGATAGTAGAGCATGTACCCAAGCTTCTGGCTACACAAACAGGAGTAACTCCAGCTTCTCCAGATGATCTAACAAAAAGGTGCTGTTAGATGAGACTGGGAGCTGCAGCATCCTACACTCCCCTACGGGAGCTGAACATAACACAGAGGCACAGGCCTGAGGGGATCTGCAAGAGGACTACCTCTTTTAACTGTCAATTCTGCATGGGCCAAATTTATCTGGTCACTGACCTCTGTCTTCTGCCAAGCATGTTAACCCTGCCACATGAGGTCTGCAGAACATTCACTTCCGTGGAAGAAGAGTCCTATGGACCCTCAGGAGCCGGTCTCTATGATGCAGCCAGTAACCATGAGCCACTATGTGCTCTCTTGAGCCTGCCTCCTCAACTGAAGCCTGGTGGTGCTACTAGCAAAGAAGAAGAGCTTCATAAAGTCCATATAAATCATAAAATACATAGCAGAAAGGAAATGTTCCCCTGACCTGGTCTAGGGCTGAAGCAAGGCATGTCTCCACATTATTATTCCTGCAAAGTAAGATGAAATGGGCCAGAAAACCAACCCCCTAAAGCTCAAGGTTGACCCAGGGCAGTTTTAAAGACTTAAGAGTCAGGATCTTGGCCTCATGGCCCCAGAGGAGGCAAGACAAGGTGGGGCCTGAGGGTAGTGACACACTTGCCTCAACTTCCATATACTTAGGACAGCTCGACCCCAGAGGCTGAGGAGTCCCGCCAGCTCCCACTGGGATTCCAAATACCCCTCCCCATCTCCCACAACTGCCCCCAGGAGCCCTGTTAGTGGGACTCCACTGACTAGTCACTGGAACCCTGAGGAGGAGCTCCACAAGGCATGAAGGCCCATGTCCCCTTTTCCGGGCTATAGCCAAGGAGGGCAAGATTAAGTAGGGTGAATAACAGTACTAATGTGGTGCTGCTGGTTTGGAGAAAATGGAATACATGATTTCCACCTTCCTTCTGCAGCCAGGCCTGAGGTGTGGGTGAACGTGTATTCCTCCTGCAAAACTGGGCTCACAGCCCTTCCTCTGAAAAGCCTTTCCTGATGCAATCATCACTCCTGGGCTATTTCTGCACATTCCGGACAACTTCGTCACCATGTTCAAACTAATGTGAAAGTCTATCTTTCCCACCAGACTCTAAGCTTCAAGGGAGAGACTCCATCTCAGTCCACTTTCATTTCCTTTACTTAGTGCTGCCCTTCTCATAGTAGACACTTAAGAAATATCTAATGAATAATGGAGACCTTGGGCTCTGATTCCATATGAAATGAGAACCCAAATGAAGGAAGAGACAGTAAAATCCTCAAGTCACTGCAGTTCGACCTCCAGACATTCTGCACACTGTACTGGTAACATTACCCTAGAAAGATGTTGGCTGGCCTGCAGAGTGCAAGTCAATGAGTAAAGCCACAGCATAGTCAGGAAAAATGAAAGAGAGGGCCTCCTCCACCTGTGTAGCACAACGGTGTGGGAGCATCGCTAAGGTTTTCTTCACTTTTTCTCACTTCAAAGTTGGACATTTAATACCATCTGAGAAATGAAAGATTTTCAACATTTGACTCTTTGGGGCAGAGGGCCTGCCCCAGAGAACCCTAACCAGTCTGCTCAGGCCCCTGGAACTCTGCATTCACCATGAGGTCTGGACCCCAGCCAGTTCCTCCTCTGTACACTGAGGCCAGGGGGGCTGACGGACCAAGCTCCCTGGACTGTCTCCTTACCTCATCAAAAGGTTTGGTGATGCTGGTCTCCAACTGCCAGTCCAGCGTTCTCCACACCTTCAGGCTGCGGTCATCAGCTTGAGAGGCAATGTATTTCCCAACAGGGTCCCAGGTCAACCCCTTTACCAAGCCAGAATGGCCTCTCAGAGTAGCTAGAATTTCTGTGGAGGAAAAGAAGAGATTAGAAAGGCATTAGCTAGGGGAAAATGATGAGTCTATCTAAAACATGAGCTGCAATCCATGGGCTATGGAATGGCTAGCCAAGAGAGGGGACCTCAGGAGTCTACCTTCATCAGTTCCCACCCCTGGGCACAAGCAGAAGAGCCCCCTAATCTGATGTCTTTGCTTCAAGGCAAAACAATTTGAAGGAAGGACTGTACCCAGGAGGCAGGCACTATGCATAAGCCCCCTAAAGGGCAGGCAAGCAGGGACAAAGGCTTGGGGTAGAGCCAAATTCTGTCCCTTCAACTTGTCTGCAGTTGGTATCTCTGCCAGTGGTTTCCCTTTCTGAACAGAAGACCATGCGCACCTGGGCTGTAACATGAGCATTTCTGATGTGAACCTCCCTGGCAGCTCCCCAATAAAGAGCAGGCCTGACAGCTCGGGGTAGAGGGCACTGTGCTGAAGTCCTTTGTAAGTCATCACTGAGACAAAGGTGTGTGCGATAGCACGTCCTAGGGATCTGTAATCTAAATACAACCCCAGCCCTCTGTGACCAGGATGAAAATGGACCTACACATCCTGGTGGCTTATAAAGAGAGAAAATGACTTGGATCAAGTTCATGGAGGATGCTTTTTAGCCCACGAAGAAAACATATTCCAGATACCAGCAGAAAGAGAAGAAGTATCTTACTAGTTATGAACTGTAGTGATACGCCAGGTTATGCCATCTGTTGTGACTTTAAACATGTTAATAAAGAAAAACAATCTTTTGCAAAACTGGATTTGTTAGCCTGTGTTCAAGGGCTTCAGAGAGTGGATGGCAACTGAGTGAAGGCTAGAACCCAGTGGCGAGAAGGTGTACCCTCAGGGCATATGTGTATGTGGGAGTGTCAGGTGCCCAAGTGCATGCAATGCCACCCTACCAGCTTCATATCTGTGGCACATCCATGCTAGCACTCATTTACTATTTTCTGTAACACAAACCTCTTTTAAAACCTTAAACAAACGTCAATGATGAAGAAAAAAAGAACGGAGTCTCAGACAAGACACGTGGATCCTCATCTACTATGAGACACTGTTGCCACCAGCGTAAGGAGACCAAGAGCCCACCATGCTCCAGATGAGCGGCCCATTTCTGCCACCACCCAGTCAGAGGCCCAGACCTGGGAACTTCACAGCGTTCCAGATGACGACAGTGTTATCCACGCTGCACGAGGCCAGCCAGGCATCATGGGGAGACCATGCTACATCCATTACATCTGGAAGACAGAGGGCTGGTAGTTAAGTCTCTTACCTGGTGTACAGACTTGGCTAGGGGGGCACTCAGCAACACCTGTGTGCCAGGTGGGCCAGTAGCCCCTAGCATCTCATGTCAGAGGAAACTTGAGATCATAACTAGACTATTTCTTAAAAACCAATCTGCAAAACTCCCCTGCTAATGTTTTTGAACTGGTCATGACATTTGAAGTATCTATGTGACCTTGCTCAACCCCTCTGACAGATGAGGCAACTGAGGATCATAGCTGAAAGCTTGGGACTAAGTATAAGAATCCTGGTTCTTACACCTGCTAGGTCTGTGGCCTCAGGCTCACCAAGGTTGCTTTTCTGACCCCAAATGGGCCTGAGAGCCCTTTGAGCACTACAGGTACAGCACCTGTCAGAATGCCTGGCACACAGAGCTCAACAGCTCAATAGCTGCCAAATAAGTGGGAGGCCATCTTTAGGCCCTTCTCACCAATTGGACCTCATCTCTGAGACCCCACAAGAGTATCCCTCCCCTCCAGAGCCCCCAAACACAACGACTCATATTCATTTCTTTGTGACTCAGTTTTCTCATCTGTAAAATGCAGATTAAAACAAAAACCACAAACTAGGCTCAGAGGGTTATTACGAGGATCAAATGTAAGAAACTGCTATAGCACAGTGCCAGGCACACACCAAGGCATCGGTAAAGATCAGCTGTGACAGTGACAATGACCAGGCCCATCTTGCTGTGCAGTTGTAATTTTTTCCTAACCTTTGTGCCTGGTGCAGTGCTAGGTGTACAGAGAATGGCTGGTGAGAGGTGAAGAAAAAGAAACATGGCAGCAAGTTAACAGCTTTCTAGTCTCCTCACAGCACTTTTTTTTTTTTTTTACAAATAGTTTATTATCACGTTGGTTTCCATATAACACCCAGTGCTCCCAAGGCTTTTTAAAATGTGTAAGTAAAATATTCAAAAGTTCTATTTTGTTTTTTCTATTTTTAAAAAATCTTTAGGGATAGCTTAATGAATTTTTTTCCACATGGTATTGTACTTTGTATTTCACATAGCATACACATTAGTGTGCTGCATTTAGTATTCTCTTTTCTTAATTAAAAAAAATGTTTATTTATTTTGAAAGAGATAGAGTGCGCATAGGCGAGAGGGACAGAGGCATAGAGAGAGAGAGAGAGAGAGAGAGAGAGAGAGAGAGAGAGAGAATCCCAAGGAGGCTCTGCGCTGTCACAGCAGAGCTCAATGAGGGGCTCAATCTCCTGAATCACGACCTGAGCCGAAATCAAGTCAGATGCTTACCTGACTGAGCCACCCAGGCGCCCCATGCATTTAGTATTCTAATACCCTTGGGATCCTGAGGGCTTCTCTTGTTTTACTCTGCATCCTTGGTCTTTGAGAGCATTCACTACCATAAACAGACTTTCATGTTAATGAACACACAGGTGTATACCACTCCCTGGTTTCTTGTGACTGATACCACAAAGTGGGACTCTGGGCAGAATGCCTAAAGGTTTCCCCAAGTCTGGACTTTCCTGACTCTGTGGACTGCTTTCCAAAGACCTCTAGAACTTTACACTTTTATAAGCAGAATGTCTATTGGAAATTCTCTTATTAGCTTGAGGGTTATGATTTTGTTCCCTTCTAATTTATAAAGTCCATTTTTATATTTTAACGTCACTTTGATTAATAATGAAAGTGAAGACTTTTCACGTTTGTCTAAAGTTGTCTTCTGAGACAATTTTCCTCCTATCTTGTCTGTTGGGAGTTTTTTTGTGCAGCGGGTCTAATAAACACAAATGTAGTGCCTATAAAAATGAGGAATAAAAACCTCCTCTAGGAACTGAGAGGCCAGGAGGGGCAGACCTTTAGGCACATTTCACTGTTGTAGCTAAGTCTTAGAGCAGAGAAGTAGTCAGCTGAGAATTCCAGAAAGGAGATGTCATTTTCTTAGCAATTTCCATAGACTATTGATAATACAGGCATTAGTTGCAAACTCTGTCAGTTTAACACTGCAGGCGATTTATGAAGTAAAGTCTGTTATTCTCCTTAGTAATGTCTTTTATTGCCTGTTAACCTTAAAAAATATTCCCTCTGCTAGAGGATTGATAAATACTCTATTCTGTTTTATTCTGCTTTAATTATTTAGAATGTTTCTCTATTTAATATCTGGAATTTATTTCAGTGCATGCTGTATTTTGTGAAGCTCTATATTACTCTCTCCTCATCTACAAACCGTATAATGGTTATTCTATCACAGTGATAACTGGTGCCTCCTTCACAATACACCAAGTTCTTTTTCTAAAAAATGTTTCATTTATTTCTGAGAGAGAAAGAGAGACAGCGTGAGCAGGGGAGGGTTGGAGAGAGGAGACACAGAATCTGAAACAGGCTCCAGGCTCTGAGCTGGCTGTCAGCACAGAGCCCGATGCGGGACTCGAACCCATGAACCCCAAGATCATGACCTGAGCCAAAGTCAGACACTTAACCGACTAAGCCACCCAGGCGCCCCACAACACACCAAGTTCTTAGGTACATGTACCTGACTTCAATGTTGGCAAGTTTTGTCCTCAAACCCATGACGCTTTAAGTCACTGCAGCTTTGTTTTCTTCAACAACCTTCCTTATTCTTCCAAATGCCCTTTGGAGTCACTGCTGAGTTATGCCATAAATCCACATACGTAATATAATTTTCTCCTGGGTTTCCAGTTTTGGAGCTTCAGTCTTCAGACTATACCACTCCCTCTCCTTCTCATTGCACATCTACACATATCTGACACCCTCTTGCACTTGAAGAGTTAAGTTTCTGGTCACTGTCATTCTGGAAACTCTCATCATCATTCTTGCTGATTCTAGGAGGAATAATCTGTTTTTTGTTTTGTTTTGTTTTTTAACACAAGGCTCTTGGATCCTTAAACCTCACAGACTCCTCCAGTGACCTTGGCTTCTACCACCTCAGGCACTCATTCCCAGTCATGCCTAGAGACCCTTCCTGACAGATCACTGCAACTCTTCCCTGGTCTAATTCCATTCCTCGCACACTCGTACCACTAACCCAGTGCTTCCAGCTCCCTCTCAACTCCAACAGGGCTTCCAGGTGCTACGGGCCTTCTGCTGTCTCCTTACTCAGCTTAGAGTTCACCATAACCCTTTGCTCTTCTGGGTTTTCACAGGTGCCTGACAAAACCCAGCCTGGTTCAATCTAGCTCTTTTCTCCCCTCTCCACCTCAGTCTTTCTTGAGCATCTTCCAATGAGTCTTCTATCCAACAACACCAAAACAAACAGCACTAGCCAAGGCCATGGGGAGCCTCCATGCCATCAAGTCCAATGGTCAATATCCTCAATCCTCACCCGACCCCAGGCAACATGTGATGCACTGCTTGATCGCTTTTCCTTTGAATGCTCTCTCCACTGTCAAACTGGCTTCCTCTCCGACTCAGCCTGTTTCACTGGTTCCTCAATACCCTGAAGCCCAACCTCTACCCTTGGTCTCCAGTCCCACCTATACTTCTCCTGTGTACTCAACTCTCACATATCAAAGCTCACAGTTCACTTACACCCCTGCTAGGCAATGCAAACCAAACATGCCCCAAAGCCAACTTCTAAACATTCCCCCTAGCAAACATTTCCGGTCCCACCTACACACTTTCTATAGAGTGATGGCAACTGCATCCTCACCACCCTCCAGGCCACAGTCGGAGGAATCCTGATTCCTTTGTTTATCTCACACACCCTACATCCCATCCACCAGGGACTCTGCCTCCTCCTCCTCCTCCTGACTTCTACTGCTACAACCCAGGTCCACTGTCTCTCACCAAGATTATGTGAGCAGCCTCCTCAGTGGTCTCTCCAGTGCCACCCATAGTCCATGCAGCTGCCACAGGCCTCGCTTCTCTGCTCAAAACTCTACTGACCTTTCCCTTCTCACTCAGAGAAGGGCCCCTCCCAATGGCCTAGAAGGCCTGCCCCTGCCTTCCTGCCCTGTTCACTCTGTGTCCTAGCTTCAGGTGGTTCTCTGAATACACCAAGCACATACATCCATACTCCAAGGCTGTTGCCCTGGCTATTCCTTTAGCTTGGAAAGCTCTTTGGATGTACATACAATTGTCCCTTACCCTTCCCTCTCTTTGCATGTCACTTTCTCAGCAAGGCCTACTGGGGAACCCTCATTTTTCTCCCCAGCACTTATCTTCTAGTTTCTGACATGACTAGTTTATTGTCTGACTCATTTAAAAGAACGTAAACTCTCTGAGGATAGAATAGTACCCAGAATGTACTGAGTGCTCAATAAATATCTGTTAAATGAATTTGGGGAAAAACAGCGTCTTTATTTTATTCAGTCTTTCCATTTATCAAGTAGTCATTTTATCTCTCTCAAAAAAGGTTTGTAGTTTAAGTCTTACAGACCTCATATATTTCTTGGTAAGATTATTCCTGGGTATTTACAATTTTTGTTTCTGCTATATAAGAGTTCTCTTTTCATGATTAGATATTCTAATTGGCCATTACTAATGAAAAATGAATAATTAAAAATTTTCTTACATGAGACCAATTCAATGACTAATTTTTATTAGTTCTGAGTGCTTTTAAATGCTTTTTAAGTTCTAATAACTGTGAGCTATATTTGCCATTGGTTTGAGAAAGACATAAGTAGGATACTTTCAGGTTAAGGAAATAATTTCCTATCATCATTTAAAAAAGTTTTTAGAAACTGATGCTCCTTTCAGAACATCTCCTAAGATGACTGTCTTTTTAAAAGTAGGCTCCATGCTAGGGGCGCCTGGGTGGCTTAGTCGGTTAAGCGTCCGACTTTCACTTAGGTCATGATCTCGCGGTTCGTGGGTTCGAGCCCCGCGTCCGGCTCTGTGCTGACTGCCAGCTCAGAGCCTGGAGCCTGTTTCAGTCTGTGACTTCCTCTCTCTCTGACCCTCCCCTGCTCACGCTGTCTCTCTCTCTCCTAGAAATAAATAAAACATTAAAAAAAAAAATTAAAAAAAAAAAAAAAGTAGGCTCCATGCTCAATGTGAGGCTTGAACTCACAACTCTGAGATTAAGAGTCACATGCTCTACAGACTGAACTAGCCAGGTTCCCTGACTATCTTTTCTTAATCTCCTAGTATGTTAGATTAATAGATTCCCTTTACATAGAATTCTTCCAATATAAATCATACTTAGTCAAAATGAACTACTGTTTTCAAAAGTTACCAAATTCACCTGCATTATGTTTCTGATTTTTCTTTTATCATATTCAGCTATGCTTTGTGAGTTTGTGTGTGCTTTTAAATTTTAGAAACCCAGAGTTACAGCCTCCTTTGAAGAATAAATATTTCTACATTCTGGAATAATTTTTCTTAAAAGTTTGAAACAATGCATTAACAAGTCAACAAGTAATTTAGGATTAGACATCATTTCTGAAGACTCCCAACTTCTTCACTGGTTACTACTTTAGTAAAGTTTTCCTAACCTTATGGTACCAATTCTGAAAACTTATATTTTCTATTTTTTTTTTTTTTAGTTTAAAAAACATTATGTTGTACTCTGATGATTTTTTTCCCTTCTAGGTTAAATGTTTTTCTAGACCCTTTACTTCTAACTTCATCTAGTTTTTTTCTTCCTATCCCCCTATTAAATATGCCAAGTGTATGTTTTTCATGCTTTCTATGTTAAAATCCAGTGCTTTCTATTTACTTCTGCTTTTTCACTGATTTTTCTTCTTTAACAGTTCTGTCCACAGCTGCTATCAGGACCACTGAATAAGCAGTGGGTACCCTGCTGAAAGTGGGCAACCCTACTTGCCTGGTAAAGGAGAGCTCTGGGGTGGTGGGCCTGGAGAGAAGTCCAGATTATGGCTCAACCCAAGTCTCAGGTTAGGAAAGCCATCAAAGGCTTTAGGCCTTATCCCACACTTGAACACTCACATGGACACTTTCTCCAAGTTCCAGAGGAGCCCAACTAGACAGACCTTGCTGTGAGCAACTGAATAAGTGAGGTTAAGTTACACGTTTTTATGGCTATCAACAATTACACAATGCTACTCTGTCAGCTTTCAAAAATGCAGAATTAATCTATGGTCACCTAGAGGTAGGTGTTCACCTTTGTTCACCTTTAACATGTCTGTTGAGTATTTGCAGAACATATACTGTTAGTAGATAGCTGATGCCTTCCAAACTCTCACTCTTGTCCCATCTTCTCCCAGAGTTCCAGGCTCAATTCCAATGAGCCTTGTGACATTCTTCTCCATCCCTGTACCCCAAAGAGCATATCCTACATTGAACTGGTATCCATCCCTGTAAGCCCACTATCATTATGGTCTTAGAGAAGACACCACTGGCAATGTAGGCACCAGCTAGGAATCTCCTTCATTCCTCACTTGCTTTGTCCTAAGAAATTCCTAAGTTATTCTCCCACTCTCTCTCAATTATCCCAGGCCTGGGTCAGGCCCTTGCAGTTTTCATCTGAACCCCTAAAACAGGTTCTTCTCTATACCTGTCAGAATGATTCCTCTCTTACGCCTCAAAGCTTTTAATGGCTCCTGTCTCTTCCATGATAAAGGGCACCTTCGTTAACAGGGAGCATGAACCTTCCGTGTCCTGGTCCCTGACACTCAGCCAGTCCCACCCCACGGTGCTCCCTTGCCTTGTATGTAAAGATCCAGCTGTCGCCCCCACCATGCATGCCACGTGTTTCTGGCTTCTGCTGTTCCCCCACTTCAGGCCATTCTTGGGCAAGACCACAGGTTTTCTGAGGTATGGTCACTCTAGTATCCCTGGCATCTGAGTGTATACAGCACATGGCTTTTGACAGCTATTGACCGTCCTTCTTCCTCTTCAGTCCAAATCTGTAAAACGTGTCCCTTTTCATTGCAAATCTATTCAACACTTTGCGAAATTACTCAAGGTCAAATAAAAAACTTTTCCTTGAGCCCCCTTTCATGTGTGCTGGTTTCTGTGGAATAAATAAAGTGTGCTTACGGACTTAGTGATCCACTGATGAAGGTAGTGATTCAGTTCACCAGGATAAACAGCAGAACGTGGGGATTCTACATTGAAGATATAAACATATACCCCATGAGGGCAGGAGTGGGGGCACTGAATGCAGCTGGAGGCAGGCAGTGGGGACGGTGACTACACAGACCTTGAGGGACAGGCAGGGTGTGACTGATGGTGACGGGGAAGGACGGCCCAGATGCAAGGCTGCTTTAAGGACCAAAACAGTTCACAGGGGCCATGGAGGTGCTGCTGCTGACCTCAGACAGCTGCCAGGGCTGCCCACCCCAACAGGCAGCCCCACTCACCGCCTGAGTGACTCCGGAGGATAGAGACACATCGCCACTGCTCCACGTTGGCAAGCTTACCACTGGAGCCGAACACGGTGCTGGGGCCGATGTACCTGTGTGAAAGAGGAGTCAGAAAGGCACTCCAGGCATGCTCTAGGCACTGCACAGAGATGCTCACTGCAGCACAGCTTATCATGGCAGACAGAACAAAGCAAAACCAGACAATGGCTGGAAAGCACTGAATTGTTGAATAGCAGGGGCTGATTAGGTAAGTTATGTTCCATGCACTTTATGAAATACTAAATAGCCATCACAAATCTTGTGGTGAAAGACTTATCTGCTCCGTGCGGAAATGTTCACCATATATAATTAAGTGAAAGAAGCAGATCTTATACAACGATAGATACCACCATGTAAAGAAAAAAAAAATACATGTAACATGGATATCATCTATGCATGGAAAATGGATAAGACACACACAAAACCAAAATATTAACCATGGCTTTCTTCGGGTGGTGGGATGGTGATTTTCTTTTATATGTTTTTTTCAGATTTCCAAATTATGTATGTTGTTTATGTTGACTAAAGCAGCAAAACCAACCGTCTTTTTAAAGCCCTTTTGCAAAAGACTTAAAGCAGGGATACTAGCTCCTACCACGTGAGCACTTGGGTGGATCCCCATGGAGGTGGTATTAACACCACTGATGCACAGAGCCTCTGTCAACATCCTTTGCTCCCACAGAATTCTTACAGACACAGAGAAAAAGAAGACAGCATGCCTCTGCTCTCGTGGCCATGGCCATGTCCGTGGGATCCCTCTGGCTAAGCAGCAGACTAGGGTCTGGTTCCCTAGTCTAACTAGCCCTCAGAGTTATCTGTGGGGCTGGTTATGAAGAAGAGTCCCAGGACCCACCCTGAGAGACAGCCTAGGTTTAAAGAAAAAGTTTTCTAGGTGATGGTTAGTTCATTATGGGTACAGAGCAGGACTTTGAAGGGGTGCTCCTTAGAGTCCTAGGGTGAGGCTGACAGAGAATGAGGTGATTGGCAAGGAGGGTGGGCTCTGGGTCCCCTCCCCCAAATTCCATCAGAGCACCTTGACATTTACCTATGTTGTATGTTGGAAAATTTCATTTGGAAAACAAAACAAACAGAGCCACCAATGTCAGCAACGGAAAGGATTAGCTTTTCAGGTAGAAACTCTGCAGCTCTGTAAGAGGGTCGACTGAGTAGGTCTCCAAGCGGGTAGGTGGCCTCCTGATGCCGTCCCTGGTCAGGCCCCAGCTGCTCCTGGCCTACATGTGCTTCCTGCTACTCAGGAAGTTGGAGCTCTAGGGACTTCAGTGCCAAAGTAGGAAAAGGTGACTATGATTAAGACCAGCAAAGAAGCTTCTAAAAATAAAACGTGAAGAAAGGAAAATGATGCTTACGTAGCCCGTTTCCACACCATAATCAGTTTGTCATCTCCCCCAGAAGCTAAATACATCCCACTGTTTGACCACCGCACACAGTTCACACATGCTGGGAAGAAAAAAAAATAGGGTGATGAAAATCCAATAGTCATGCCCATTTGCTTTATGCAGAGTCTGGCAAGATGCAAAGGGTTTATAAAACCTACTCTCTCTCAACTATTCAAGGCATCCACTGTGGGTGAGCCCCAGAAGAACAATACAGTTCAAATACTATCCTACTTATGTTGTAGTAACAAATGACCAGGATAGTTTGGTGGGGGACACTGTACACAATCTGAGAAGTGTTAGTGCTGGATCAAACAGTCAATAGGAGGAGGTAAATTTCCATGAAAACTATAACTAAATCTCATTATTTCAAAAGGGCTGTCTCATGATGAGATAATGTTTTTGAGCGGGGAGAATTTTTAAAATGAGGGCAAGTACTAGAAAGGCTGAGATGCCCTTCCCAAAACTTTCAGGGGGGCAGCTTGTTAAAGCATAAAACTCTCACTTCATTCCATCTGTAGCCCTTTTAAATTTGGATTTTCCAAACTTGTCAGCACTGCAGGTTGACTGGTTCTGCACTTATAAATTAAGACCAGCAGAAATGCCTCCTTGGCCCCTGATGGGTTAGAGCCTCTGGGAGCAACTCACAGCTAGACCTTTGGAAGCCCTGCAATACCAGGGACACTATCCAAGTTTAGCCCACAAATGGCTTGCCTGTGACTTGTGCTCAAGGTCGGAGGGCAGGGAGAGACATGGTGGGAGAGCAAGAACACAAGAGAGCTAAGGAAGGGGACACAGCTGTTAATGGAGCATCTCAGGGGAGGCAGCTAGGTTGGAAACCAGAGCCACGTACAATCCTGATGCTCAGAGGCAGGAAACTAAGGCACTAAACGTAGGAAACGAAACTACAACACTGTCCGACCAACAAAAGGGTCGTGGCAGGGGGCCTCAGAGTGACACAGTGGCAATCTGAGACATTTTGGTGAGTTGTCTTTAATATTAATACACCCTTCCCCAGAACCCTACTGCTTCCAGGTTGCTGGCCCCAAAGCCCCATGGAATCAGGCAGTTAACGACTCATGAGCAGGAAATCACCAGAGGTACCTGCAGACTGTCCAAAGATGGTTCTGTGGGCGGGCCGAGTCTTCTGCCGAATAACTCACCCAGGTGTGCAGCCAACATCTGTGCCTTCAGACAGCAGGCCGAGGGGAGTTACCGCCGCACGGGGCCTTATCTTTCTAATTACAAACACATGTGCTAACCTTGGGCACTGTGCCAACACGCAAAGCCTGCAAAGGGCCACTCTGTAATACCTAAGTGATTGTCCATCTGGCAAAGCATCTTGGGAATATTTTCATCCTTCTCGTCATCCTCCTGGAGGACTGGAGACATATTCCAGATCACAACCTTCCCAGAATCCTGTCCTGGAATGAAGGAGCAAAAATAATTCAATGCTCAAGAAGTAGAAATTTGATATTAACTCTGAGACATAGTTCTCATTTAGCTTTCATAAACCATAATGGACTAGATGTGAGGAGACTAAATTTGCATTACTAATATAAATTACAGAAAAGATGAAGAAAATAAGTGTTTATGGGGGATCAAAACCCACGTGAATTTAGTAGTAGGCTGAGGCCAACCTGACTTTGAAAAGAACTCTGGGGGTGCCTGAGTGGCTCAGTAGGTTAAGTGTCCAACTTCAGCTCAGGTCATGATCTCGCAGTTCATGTATTTGAGCCCTACATTGGGCTCTGTGCTGACAGCTCAGAGCCTGAAGCCTGCTTTGGATTCTGTGTCTCCCCCTCTCTCTCTGCCCTTCCCCAACTCATGTTCTGTCTCTCAAAAATAAACATTTAAAAATTTTTTTTAAATTAAAAAAAAAGAAAAAAGAAAAAAGAAAAGAACTCTTCACTAAAAAACAGGAGGGCACCGAGCTCTGGTATGGCCTCTAACACAGATCTCTCCAGACCCATAGAAGGTCCTCATCCCTGTCCAAGACTCAGATTCCTCATCTGTAAGATGAAAAGCTAGAAAAGCTGATGTCCCAGGATACTTTCAGGTTTGTACACAAGAATCCTAGCAACCAAGGGTAACAGCACATCCCTGCCGGTACTTCAGTCCGTTTCTAGGTGCTGCCTGAGTCCGTGGCTGAATGAAATGTGCCCTGAACATAAGAAAAAAGGTTCATTACCTTATCTGCCCTTTGCCGTCACCTACAGATGGGGGGATCAACTGAAAAGAGGGCATTTACTGTTCCTGGGGTTATAAGGTGATACAGTATTCTGCTAAAAAATTTATATATGCCTTTTGGCAAAGATTTTTCTAAGCTTTCCATTGCTGATAACTAACGAAAGTCTAGTCCCTCATTTAACTATTTTAGAGAATCAAAAAACCATTAAGCACCTACAAATGGACAGATCAGAATTACATAAGGCATACCTAAAACTGCCTATTGGCCAGTATGTAAAAATATTTTCTAAACAGCTCTTCTTGACCTTACTACATTGAGAAGGGGAGGAAGGTATGCCCTTTCTTATGGATGAGGAAAAAACCCAGTCCCTCAGCTTAGTCCAGCGCCTGTAAGTGACATCAGTGGGCACCTCCTGAGTGTAGCCCACAGCATGCAGGAAGGAGATCAAGACCTCCCTGCATACCCCTGCAGCAGAAACCCACCCTGCAGCACCTGGCCTGAGAACCTGGAATTCAGAGAACACTCTTATGCAGGGAGTCGCCTGCCAGACAAAAACAGTGTCCTGGTGAAGCTATCAGGGACTGGGTTATAAGAATGCTATTTTATGGCATCACATATACATCTTGGTGTACTGGCCTGATAAAGGACTGTCTTTCTAAGCAGGGCTATTATTGTGGCACTGCAATACTGGGTGAAATATACTGACAATGTTACGGACTGTATTTTCAAAGGGCATGGGCATTTTACTTGCCCAGTGTTCTCTCAGCCAAATTTCTCTGAACCCAGAAAACGGGCCTAATAACTACACAACTACTTCTATAGTTCAGTTCACCTCCTCCCCCTTTTCAGATGAGCAAGTGCTGCCAGAACAAAGATGAGGAACCAACCTTAGCCTTTGGGGCTGGGGCTCCTTCCATGGGACCACCTGCCTGTCACTCTCCATGTTCAATAAGCTGGGGCTTGGGGATGCAAACTGATTTTAATTATTAGCCCAATGAATTGGAGTTAAAAAGATACACCCACTACCAAACTATTTATACAGAGCAAGCGCACTAGGGCCAAAAAAGAATTTTCACTTAACTTGTTCAGATAACAGATTATAATTATACATTTTAAATGGAAACTTATCCATGCTGAAAAACAGAAGTATTTTATCTTCAGCTCAGTGGGCAATCAGAAGCAGAGTAAGGTGGCAGGGCTGTGAATGCTCCCTCTGTTACTCCGTGAACGTACCTTGTCCTCCAGTTGCGAACTTGGTCCCGTCAGGGTGAATATCAACTGAAAAAATTGGCTTGCCTGGAAATAAAGGGAAAAAAAAAACACACACACACAACATCTACCTTGGCTTATATTCATTGGACAAAAGCAACAAAGTAAAAAATTTTGAAATAGTGGTTATTTGAGTAATCTTTAATCACTGCTCCTAGGAAAAAATAATAGGCTGCTGATAAATTAACTGTAAGAGCAGAGTGATCTAACAGTTTCAGTTAAAGTATAAACTGCTGGAAGGCTCTCCAAGTGACATTAAATAGCTTAGTCTAAAAGTGGCACAAAGCATTCTGTCACTAGAACAACTGAGTCCACAGATTGCCTGGGCACTTGTACAGATGTCCAGCGGATAAGAGCTGGCCACCTTCTGAGAACACAGTTGTAAAGGCTATGTGCAGGTCATGACAACAGCTGAGTCACAGCAGCTATACCTCCAGCCATCTCCCCATCCCATGGATCTGCACTTGGCTGGCAGCCTTGGACACATAAGCACCCTGGCCTTTCTTCCTGGCTGACAGCTGGGTAGGACTAGGAGCTGACTGTAATCACAGGCATCACTTCCCTCATCATGCTTCTGTTTCCAAAAGCCCTCCTCTAGATTTGTGCTACATCAAAGTCCGTGGAGAGTCAGCATTCTCAGCATCTCCTCTGGCTGAACTTCCTCCACAGGATGTGCCCTTTTAACCGGATGTTCAGTCTTTCTAGGGGCAAAGACTGTAGCTACTAGCTCCTAGAGTGTAGGGTGCACACCCACACCAGGAGCTCATGAAGCTAGATAGCTAGCTATAGCTTGGTGGACCAGACTGGCAAAGGTGTCATGACAGCTTTAAACCCAGCAGACTAGAAGTATTCCCGAGGTCTGGGCCCTGTAGGCATTTGTCTAGCTCCCTCATCTGCTTCCATGCTAAGAGTGGCATGTCATTGTTGTTGTGTTCATCACCACATCCTCAGCTTCTAGCATAGGTCAGTAACATTTGTTTAGTGACAAATTAGATGCATAATGAATACCAGCAATCACTGATACACTCAAGGTGCTATTGCTGAGGAGTCTCTTAGTTGAGGATGCGCTGTCTCTCTAACCCAAGAGGAGTTGGCATGGACACCAGAACGAGGGTTACCAGCTCTAGAATCACATGGTGGCAAGTGCAGGCAGGGTGGGGTGGGGCAGGGGCAGGTGATGGCTGCCTAAGAGCTGAAAGTCCTGCTAGGGCTAGTGTCCAAGTATGGGAAATCAAATATTGGTACTCAAAAAGGCAATGGCCAGCATGAGCCCCAAGCAACAGCCAGCTCACCTTACCTTCTTCTGGAGAGCCATACCCCTACAGGCAAATTGAGCCTGAGCTTCTACAAAACAAAGGGAAATGTGCTCTCCTTCTTACTTGTCATTATGTGGTAGTGGGGGAAACAGCTGTGCAAGGCCAGTAGCAAGCAGGTGTCCCAAGTGCAAGGGCCCTATTTTGTATCAGAGAACAAGGAGAAACCTAGGAAAGTTGGAAATCACATATTAGTTCATCTCTACTACTTACTGAAATTCAAAACAACACAGGCTGCTACAACAAGCCTCTGACATCATATTGGCAGCTCCAGCCTGGTCCCTGAGACCCTCGGTCACCTCCAGGTACACACGCTAGAGCCAGAGCTCTACAGTGAAAGGTGAAATTTAGCCAAGTGGCTACTGATCACCTTCCTAGATAGAGCACATGGATACTCAAAGCTGTCCCAAACATACAGGAAATTCAGTCCTGGTCTGCTCTGAGCCTTCACTTCAAGGGTTCTCAAGAAAAGCCCCAACACAGCTCGGCACTCTTATAGCTTGAAGGAACCAGAACCAGCAGTGGAGCACACTCAGGGGGGCATGAGGAGAGAGGGCTATTGCAAGTTATTCTTCCATAGTCCAGATGGGCAGACCCTAATTAATTAGCCCCATCTTCATCTTCAGGTGCTGAGAACACTGGTGAGAAGAACTGGGGGTGCTCAAACTGGTGCCCCTGTGCCTGTGCACTCACACCTACAATGGCACACCACACCCTTCCTGGGTGAGGTGGCTGCCATGTGTGCTAAGCCAGAGAGCCTGACGTGCTGGTGCTGAGAATGTGCCACACTTTCCCATAGTCTGAGGACCTGGGAGGGAAGGAGTAGCAAGAAGGTGGGTTTCTTGCCCATCTGGGCCTGACAAGTGCCTAACAGGGAGGCCTCAAGACACAAGAAAGGACAGTTGGGGCTCTGGGCCCAGGCCTGAACTGCACAGACCATGGTACCTAGTGCTGAGACTGAGGTTCAGTGTCCTGACAGACACCAGAGGAAGGTGACCGATTAGCACCACTAAGAGCCTTGTGAAATTCAGAAGGGCAGATGTCTCCCAGTATGGGGAGGACAGCAGCGAGAAGTGTCAACCCCATTAGCAACATTCTCTATTCAAAACCTCCCAAGAAGCTGCAATGGGCCAGTCCTTGGAAGTGCCAGCCAGCTACTCCTTCCAGGAGAGGCAGAGTCACACTGAGGTAAGCCCTGTGGAGCTCTTCTTCCCAGTCCATGACATGCTCTAATGAGCATCTGATGTGCTGCTCAAACCCTGCAGGCAGCACAGCCCAGGGTATTCTCTAACTCCCACACTGCCCTCTGAAGTAGATAGTTCTAACATCCTTATTTGACAGAGGGGGAAACTGAGGCACACAAGTTAGGAAAGTTGCCCAAGGCCACACAGCTGCCTTCTCCAGAGCCTGAGCTTGAAGTATGGAAATGTACTTCCCCTCCACAGGAAATACTTCTGGAGATGCTGGGATGACGCTGCCTGGAGAGAACTGATTCAAAGCCTACAAGTGAAAGGTGAAGTAGGAAGCCAGAGTGAGAGCTATGCACATGTGTGCAACTAGTCCTGATGACCTGAGCTTAGCCTTGGACTTGCTATACTGAGCACTGATCGCCCCGGACACCTCAGACCCACAGGATGGGGGAGACAGCTATTTGGTAAGGCTCCAGTGAATCACATTTCCCAGGACTCCTGCCCCTGTGTGTTTTCCTCTCCTTGAATTTGGGTTGGCTCTCTGATGTTTTAAAAGAATGCAACTGAAGTGATGCTGCTCTAGTTCTGAGCTTAAGCCTCAAACAGGTCCAAGCAGTTCAACTTTTGCCCTCTGGAGAAAGCTTATTGCCATGTGAGAAGTTAAAGTTCCCTAAGACCACATGTTGAGACCCCCAAGCTGGCCACATGAAAAGGGTCAAAGAACCCAGACAACAATGAGAATCAGGGCTTTGACACAGGACCCAGGGTGAAATGTACTGGTCCCAAGCTACTCTAGCCATCCTAGCAGATTCTGTGCAGAACTAAGATGAGCTGTCCCTGCTGAGCCTGGCCAGGTTTCACAATCAAAAATAAATAATAAAAGTTATTGTTTTAAGCCAGCAGGTTTTTGTATAGTTTTTTATACGAGAGAGCACTCAAAATGCCACTTCATTCACTTTTATGTCTAAGGTAACTGGATCTGCATAGTTGTCATTTTCACCAAAAAAGTTCTAGCTGATTCAGCATCAGTCTTGAGAAGGCCATCAGGAAGGAGTATCCATCGGACTATAGGAGTGCTTTTCAGTTCCTTAAGTCTGTGAGACATTGTATGTCCCCTCAAGAAATACATCAAAATCACTTAAGTGCAATTACGGAAACCGCAATTCAACTGAGTCCTATAGGTTGACAAGTCTTTAGCCAGAAAAGAAAGGAAGGGAATGTAAGGTAGACGGGACATGACATGGAATGCAGAATAAGCCTGACAAGCTGCTGCAGGGTGTGGGGAGAGAGGAGGCTCGGGAGATGGGCAGGGCCCAGCAAGGCACCACTGTGGAAAGCAGACCTTCCTCTATAGCTATCTCTGAAGCAAAGGAATGCCACGACCAGATTCACATTTCAGCCACACAAAACTGTGTGGAACATGGGCTTTTAAGACTGGAAGGGAACTGGTAAGCTGGAAGAGCCTTAAGTCTCCAGGGGAAGACAACAACTAAGGGCTGGGAATAGGCCTGGGTTAGAGCAATGAATGCACCTGGGTGGAATTCTCAGCCCTGTCACTCATCAATTATTTAATCTGAACAATGGGGAAGACACAGTTACCCTAAGAAGCATCTTCTAAGAGAGATTAAGATGCCATGTCACATTGCTTCGAAGACACACAGATTTCATATGTGAACATTTCTGAGATCACGATGTGCTTTGGTGAAAGGTGTGACTGGGGTAATGGGCACCATGTTTCCTTTTGTAGAGATCTGCCACAAAGCAGATGAAATACAGTAGTGCACCTACATAAAGCCACCAGCATAGTGCTGGCTCCCTACCTCCTTTTAGCACTAGGTTCTTCACTCCAAGGAAAACAGTGGTTCACATTCCCTCAGTAGAAACAGACCTCCTTTTTTCTATAAGCCTCTTTGAGGTACAGCTGAGGAAAAGGACCTATGGCTTGACTAGTTAGAAAACCCTGTGGCACAGCACAATGATAAAGATGAATTCCCAACTGCCTCCTGCATTCGATTTTTCTTTGTACTGAGACAGAGACAAAAGAGAAATTAATCCATTCCCTGGTTCCTAGAGCTGCCAAGCAGTCTCACATGCTCTGAACGACAATGGCCAGCATCCTATTCCTGCACACCCACCAAAGTCCATTCTCCTTGGGACTCTGCTTCCAGGTCACCCCTCCTGGACACCTTGCATGCCTTCTCAGACAACACACAGCACCTTGCTGTTACTCTCTTCACAGAGCCAAGGCAGTTGGGCACTGTTCCCTGCCTGGAGGTTGCTGATCTGAAGACTACAGCACAAATACTCTCCATCTGGCAGGAATAGAGAGTTAATTTCAGAAGCTGGATTTTGACCGGGTGTGGTCAGGTAGAATCTTACTCCCTCGTATCAGAGGAAAAGATTCTTGGAGGAGCCCACATGTGCAACTTAAAGTCCAAACAAAAAGCAATGGCCAGAGAGAAGCAGGGAGGGCTCAAACGAGAGTAGCTGGCCCTCTTGGGTGGCCTTCAGACTTTTGGTTTAG